ACATGGCTAGTTCTTGCAAAACTGGAATCCCAAATTACGTAATACATTATCCAATTTTTCATTCCATTCTTTCCTACTTTGTTTCAATCCATATATCACCTTTTTTAGTCGTAAGACTTTATTACCCTTGTTATACTCGCGAAAATAATAGTACACAAGTTTATGGTTAGATCTTTATTTTATTACTGAAAATTACAATCTTAAGACTACCTTAAAATGTATTGTGCACAACCGCACATATGCCTACGTAAGCATTAAAATATAAGCATTAAAATATTGTTGTTTATGGAGTAGCATGCATGCATGGGTATGTATCTAATAACATAACTTTGTTGCGCAAGCGATATTGTTGCTTGGGCGATAAGCGACATAAATATGCTAGCTAAGCACATTCCATGTTGCTGTTCATAACAAAGTATATCTTCAATGCATATACGCTACACCTCCCTTCTTTTTAAGAATGAGTTTATTTGAAACAAATAAAGGAAAGAAAATTACATAATATCATGTACTTTACATATAAGTTTAGATATATACATATATATATTTATACTTAAACAATATCATTTATAATGTTATCCTAAATCTAATGTATTATTTATGATTAATTATTTTTTTTTTGTTTTATATTCCTTTATTTTTTGTTTTTTTTTTGAATAAACTCATTCTTATTGTAGGGTTTTGTTTTTCTTTTTTTGTTTGAAATATATTTAAAAATTCAATACATATAAATTAAAAAATTTTTTTTTTTTTATTTATTATACAATCTAAGTCTGTCTAAGTGTATCTTACTTATTTTGTCCTTATTGTCTTGAACTAATGCGTTATTTTTATTATCTATATTTACTATCTTAAATGGGCCCTTATATAAACTATCTAATTTATGTCCTACTTGTTTAACTAATACTAAATCTCCTACCGATACTTTACTACTAAGTGCATTCCTATCATATAAATTTTTACTTATTTGTTTTCTATTTTCTATTGCTTTTATCGCGCGTTTATTTGCGTTTTGTAAACGAAATTTTATTTCTTTGTCGTACGCTTCAATATTATAAACGGGATCTATTTCTAAAGTGTTAAGAAAGTCATAGATGGTGGGCGATTTACCGAAAACCAATTTATAAGGACAATACTCATGTACAATTGAAGGTGTAGTGTTATAACAATATGTAAAATATTGTAGCCACTCATCCCAATCCATTTTTTCTATGGAAATGTAGGATCTTATGTACTCGTTAAATGTCCTATGATTTCGTTCTACTGTACCTAATGATTGATGGTGGTACGCGGTTGACGTAGTATTTTCTACCTTTAATAGATTGCATATTTCATCGAAAATTTTATTTTTATACTCGGTACCCATGTCTGTAATAATTTTTTTCATAGGCCCGTAAGTCAGTATAAAGTTTTCGAATACTGCTTTTGCTATTGTTTTTGCACTTTTTTCTGCAATTGGTACCGATACCAGATATTTTGTTAAGTCACATATCATTGTGACTGCGTATGAATTACCTTTTTCCGATTTTGGAAATGGTCCAATGGTATCTATCAAAACTACATCAAAGGCAGCAGTTGGTGTATCGGTTATTATCATTTCTGTTTTTGTTTTTGTCAAAGATTTATTTCTTTAACACTTGTCACATTTTTTGACATATTTAGTGACATCTTTAGTAATGTGTTGTGTCAGCCCAGATGGTTTATTGTAGTACTTAAGTGCCCTGCATGACATGGTGGCAAGCCCGGTATGCTCGCCGGTTTAGGGGTGGGGTTCTTGGCTACTCAAATCCTACTGCTGACATCGAACAAAAAGAAAAAACATGTCATGACTTACTTCCATCCATTTCCGTAACTAACAAATAAACTATATCTTCTTCATAGGTATATATACATTCTATATACATTCTTCTATTCACTTACTATAACTAGGTAGATTAATAACTATTACTAAAACTAATATATATCTTTCAATTTCAAAACTTGCATATATAATCCTAATTCTTTATAATTCAATTTTTTTTTTCTTTTTTTTTTTTTTTT